ATACATTTTATAAACGAGCATCAGTGATGCTTAAAGAGAATGCAGACAGCAGTTCCTGATATTTTGTTAGATCATCTGGATTTTGGGATTTTTGCCATTTCCTTCTGAGAGGCTCGGCAGGTTTAGTGGATAGTTTGTCTTTGGGTAGAAAATATGCTGGCAATTGCATTGAGAGACCAGCCGACCAAATCCATGGTTAGGCTTTAGAATTAAAACAAGATTAAAAGATACATTAAATGATGAATAATTGAAATAATAAATGGATTGAAATGCAAAGGCCCGGCCTCTCTCAGAGGAGCAGTGTCTGTGGACCGTCCTGCTGGAGTCTTTCTCCAAAGCCTCCTCTGACAAACACACTGATGCAGCTCCACACCTTCAGCAGCTCATTGGCTGCAGATCCTCTGCTTCCTGGTTCAGCTTCTGCTTTACTTCTGTGTGCTGCCTGTAGAGAGCCTCCTCCAGCCCTTTACAGCCTGGAGCTGCTGCCCCGGGGGTTTGTGTTAAAGAAGAGTCTTAGCCTGTGTCTGAGGAAGCAAGGGATCATTTTATTGAGAGCAAACTTCATCAGGTGACAGCGTCCACCATGCCGACGTGCAGAGCAAGACAACACCCGCTACCTCTCAGAAAGCTGAGAATAACAGGAGACCATCACCAAGAGAGCTGAGCATGTGACCAGAGCCAAACGTTTCCGTCACAGCTGCGTTCTTCCAGGATCCACACGGCGTTTCTCCAGTGGAAGCCTCACTGGTTGTGTTTCTCTGCAGCAGCATTCAGCTCATGTCAGCTGCTGCTAGTTTGCTGCTCATGAAACAAACTGTGAGGATCCTCACTGTTCCAGAGAGGGCCCCACATGTGGAAAGAACCAGTCCTGGGCAGCTCCCTGCCCTCCAGCATCCATTCCCTCTCTCCAAAGCAGAGACAGTTCAGCCTGGTCCAGAACTTAACTGACCTGTTGAGGGGTCTGAGCTAACTAAAAAAATACAGCTTTTGTAAAATCTCAACTGTCCTACCAAAGATGAACCTCTTGGTGAGCTTTACTGTAAGAAACAGATCTGTTCTCCTTACAAACTTTGAATCAGCTGTTTGAATTATCAGAGAGTTTAAATATGTTTTTAAAAGAAAGAGCACCAGGGTTTCCTTGATAATACAGTAATCCCTCGTTTATCGCGGGGGTTACGTTCCGAAAATGACCCGCGATAAGTGAAATCCGCGAAATAGAAAACGTTTTTTTTTTTACAATTAGCAACTATTACATGTACACAAATACAGTGACTCACGTGTAGTGTCGGTCCAGGCCGTTTCGTCGACATTATGGGTTTAGGATATGTTCGAAATTACAAGATAATTTGGCCAACTTAATGTAAATTTGCCAAGCTGTTTTATGTACGTACACATAACTGCACGAGACGACAAAATGATAGCACAATTCGTAGCATGTTTTGATACAGGAAGCGGGAGGGAGTTTTTAGCGAATCAGAATGCAGAGCACAATGCACCAAAAAAAATAAAAATGCATCGTGAAAATCCGCGAAATAGCGAATCCGCGATTAGTGAACCGCGAAATGGCGAGGGATCACTGTAATCAAAATTGCTTATTTTCTTCCATCAATAGCTGTGACATAGCTCTGCTTCAAACTTCTCTCTAGGATGAAGAGTCTGAGGAAACAATGCCTGCTGCCTTCACAGACGGGGGTCAGAAGGCCTATGGAGGCAACATGTTGTGTTACTGATGGTTCACTTCCCATTTCTGAACATTCTGGTGAAGCATTCAGCCTCCTCTGAAGTGTTAACACATTGTCCTTGTTAGCAGAGCGTGGCTGGGCAGCAGCAGGAGGGTTCCTCAGCTTCCACTGCACAGACACATGCTCAGTAACTCCAGAGCCTCATTCTGTGACATTCAGATGCAGCTGTGTGATTTAATGTCCTCCTGCTGGATCCCAGCTACCTGTTAAAGGACTGAACAGAATTCTCCTTCTGACAAGAATACATATAAAACATGGTGTACTTTGTGTTCCAGATTAGGAGGATCTGGAAAATAATAATGCCCACTTTCCACTGAGTTACTAAAAACTCTGATGTAAGGGTTCTGAGTTCACATGTCAAACAGCAGACATTCAACCACTTATGCAGGAAAGCCTCTATAAAGTTACACTATGGTGTGTTGTAAGTAAAATCTGAGAGCAAAAAATGTATTTGATGTGTATCAGTCACTACCTTCCCATAATACAAATGTTCAAACTGGATACACATCAGATGTACTTCATGCTTTAGTTTGTGTTGCACTGGAAGCAGCCTGAATTTCATCAGTTTTGTACTAAATGGCTCTCACTGTTTGTTATAGCTTTGTTCACTGTAATGGGGAGAAAGCTCTTTGCTCAAAGTTTCTTTTTGCTTTTTTGTCTCATCTATGCAAATCCATGTTTGGTTTAACTACTTTGTACTGTTAGGAAATCAGACTTGCTTCCAGTAAGTACAATGGGCCCATCTGAAGGACCTCATTTAGTTATTTACCCTATAATCTCTACTGGTCCCAAAATCAAAAACTCAAAAAAGACTTTACTAGAAAAACATGCAGTAATGTGCATCCTAACTCAGTCCATGAAGCTCTCTGAGCTCAGAGCAGCTCTGCTGATGGCAGCACTGTGAGCTGCCCTCTTCCTTCATCAGCAGGAGGAGAAACACCCATGACATCCAAAATCCTTATAGACAAGTTCCATTCTAAAAAGGGTCACACACAGGTCTGAGAGGAGCACAGAAACAGAACATTTACATCTAAATATGTAAAACCATTCACTAATTTTGTTATTCAGCCATGAAGACCAGTCACAGCAAACAATCATGGAATATTTACAGTATACAGAGCTTAATCTTTTTATGTTTAGTGTCAACTATACAAAATAACGTATATATTTTTTATCTATAACAGCAATTGTCTTTTCGGTGAGCATTGAACAACATTAGGACAGATGCTGCAATAAGATACGGTAAAACATTTCCTCGACCTAAGGATACCTGTTATTAGTCTATGATAAAAACTGAGCTATCAAAGGAATGCATTCATTGGTGCTTCTCATTAGACCAACCCACCCGTAGCCAGACCAATATCCAAAAATCATCAAACTTTATCCAACCGATATAAAAGGATAACCAACTAAATATCTAGATTCCAGATTAACGATTGGTCCGTGAAAGCATCAAAACTGCTTTAATGGCACATCCTCGTTAGTATAGTGGTTCAAAAATAATTTTGGGTTAGACGTTTGAAGATGACCTGGGCCTGTTGCACATTAATGTACAGAGGAGAAGGCTTTTAAATGGCTCGTAGCAATAAAAACAACATGCATGTCAGTGCCTTTCACTAAGAAAATCAACAGACTCACAGGTCTTAAATGAGCCTAACATATACAAATTTAACCCAAGGCTAGATTTGTTATTGAAATGACTGTATTAAAAAGTCTGTTTTTACTGAGTTTCACATTCCCATGAGCACCTGGGAATGTGTTCATCTGAAATGCTACACAAGATCTGGATGGAAATCACAGCTTTCATTTCCCATCATGCATTGCTGTGGGCCTGCACAGTTATTGTAGCCTTCAGAAAAAGGTTTTAAATGAATTGATATGGTAATATCTAGTCAACGTATTCTATTGAGTGGGAGCTGTGTGTTTGCTCCATTAAATACGTTATGATGGCTGCGGTGTGGGTTTAACACATAGAACAGGGCCTCCTTAGTACATCCTCAGATACATCTGATGCTGAAAGTTGGGCAGGTTTAAGAGAATCCTCTGGCTCAGAAGAACCTCTGAGGTCCAGATCAGATCAGAGGGGGGGTTCTTTGGGGTGTCCTCCCTCTGGTGCTGCTGTTGATGTAAAGAGTTCCACTTTGAGCTCTGTAACCTCTCTGCTCTGTGTTATTTCCTCTCTGCAGGGCAGAAAATCAACAGCTGAAGCTGGACAGAAGGCCTGGATGACCTGTGGAGCTGGAGAGGAGAGAACCATCCCAGCTTTAGAGCGCTCAGACCTGATCTGAGGCCAGATGTTGTGTTTTTGTACAGAGATGGTCGCTTTGAGTCAGACCTTTAGGAACCGGGTGGATCTGCAGGACAGACAGATGAAGGATGGAGACGTGTCTCTGACTCTGAAGGATGTGACCGTAAATGATACAGGAACATATCAGTGTAGAGTCAGTGAGACACAAGATAGAAACAGAGAAATGTTCAAGACACCACCTCCACCATCCATCTGGACGTAGCTCCTCCCCCTCCAGGTGAGTGTGTGTGGCTCTGAGGGATCTTCTCAGATGGAGAAGATATCCATATTTTCCTCCCAGAGTCTCAGCTTCTTTGGCTTTTGTGTATCTGAGCTCCTTCTGGCACAGCTGAACTTTTCATTTAAGGCCAAAGAGACTAAATCTTTCCACTTTTTACTGGTTAAAGCCCCTCCCAGAGCTTCACTGGACTCATTTCCTCCATTTGGTCTGAATCCAGACGCTCTCCTGTCTCCAGCTGCCCTTCACTCCTCTTATGGTCAGCTAGGGGCTCCTCTGGGAGCTGGGCCCCCTGAAGCCTCCTGCTGACCCCTGCTGACCCCTGAGTATGTATCACAGACTGAAGCATCCTGAGTGTTTTTATCACAGACTGGAACATCCTGAGTGTTTTTATCACAGATTGAAACATCCTGAGTGTTTTCATCACAGACTGAAACATCCTGAGTGTTCTTATCACAGACTGAAGCATCCTGAGTGTTTTTATCACAGACTGAAACATCCTGAGTGTTTTTATCACAGACTGAAGCATCCTGAGTGTTTTCATCACAAATCCTCAAAGGGAGGCCGGCCTGTTTAATCTGAGCTCTGCTGCCCCCTACTGGTCACAATCTGCAATCCAGCAGAGAGCTTTGCCCCCACATGGAGGAATGAGTCACCAACAGGCTGGAAACACTCACATAAACAGTAACTGACACCTAATGTCTCTAATGGTCCCTCTGAGCTCTGAGAGCAGACCTGCTGTCTGTGACTGGAACAGAACCAGAACCAGCAGAACCGCCCAGTTTCTGAGCCACTCAGACCTCCTTCCAGCTCCTATCCTTTATATTTTGGCTCTTTGACACATCATTCCTTTACTTCAGCAGCTCATAATTCCCCTTTTTCGCATTTTTCACCTTTGTTATTGTAATACTGCTCTCTGACCTCAGACCTTTGGTTAACTCTGTCAGTCTGAGGCAGCCAGAGTTTTTATTGTTATTTACGGTACGAGGCAACGCTGCACATCACCAGAAATAATAAGAATCAGAGAGAGGAATAGAGTGATCAATCAGAGGCCTGATCCAGGACATGTGACTACATGTCCTGGATCAGGCTCCTTTTCAGTCCTCGAGTCCCGAGTGTTTGAGGAGAGACACAAACTAATGGGAGCCAGGTAGCGCCACAGAGACTGCTGATGGTGGTGGGAAATGAAGATGAGTGTTGTTGCTTCTCCAAAAGAGCTAAAATGTGCAGTAACATTTAGTTATTCTGTGTGTAGGAACACCTATGTGCTGTGTTCACTCACCTGAATATGAAATGCTTGATGGATAATAGAGGTATTGCAATTAGTAGACCAGTGCAAAGCTCAACAATGTCCAGAAGAGATATAGTTTTATCAGAATATGAGCAGACCTCAAGGGATACAGTTTGACATCCCCAACATAAATGTAACAGATTCCCCTCAAAGTTCTCTGTCAGGAGTGGGATTTGAACCCATGCCTCCAGTGGAGACTGTGACCTGGACACAGCGCCTTCGACCGCTCGGCCATCCTGACAGATCCAAGAAGGTTTTTTTAAATGTGGTGACTTGCCGACCACTGAAATTAGAAAAAAGGTAACAATCTTTGTGGTTAAAAAAAACACAGGGTCTTTGGAGAATGTGGCTATGGATCCCACTACCTCTCACATGCTAAGTGAGAGGTAGTGGGATCAAATCATGTTCAGTTATAAAAGTTCATCTTTATATCCAGAGGTGGGGGTGTAGCTCAGTGGTAGAGCATTTGACTGCAGATCAAGAGGTCCCCAGTTCAACTCTGGGTGCCCCCTTCTTTCTGAAATGTACTGAGTGCTGTGATTGTATCAGACAGGGATGTGTGGATGTGTTCCTTGGTGCTTTCTAACCAAACCTTGGGGAATGAGGTATTAAATGAAATGTTCTTCTTCCTCTTTTTGGACACTTTGACCTGCAGCACAGGAATGGTGGCTGACAGCTCTGTAACTGTTCATTAGTGCTTGATCCCTGATTGAGCATTCCTCCAAGCAGTAAACAGTTAAACCAAAGGGAGCTTGTGGAAGGGACGGGTGTTCTGAAAAGAACAACAGAATGTGTCAGAACAAGCTAAATCTGCCTCTGGAATGTCTGAACATTCTATGTTCTTCGGTATCTCAAAACTGAGAATGACCAACAGCAATCATTCTAGAAGCCAATCTCTGATATTCAGACACAATTTAGAAAGCAAATGTCTTCAGGATTTAAGAAGATTTTTTTAACATATGGAACCAATTTTAAAAGTAAAAAAGACAGCAGAGGGGGTTCAGGCTCAGAGAGGGGCTCATAGAGGGGCTCATAGAGGGGCACAGAGGAGGGCTCAGGCACTAACAAACATGAAAACCGCTGAAAACAGTGTTCATATGAAGCACAGTGAAACTTTAGCCAATGTGGAGGCTCTGAACATGACAATGAAGCAGCCAGACAGTGAGCCCCTCCAAAGCAGGATTAAAGAAATCCTCCAGCCAACCCTCCCAGCTCACAGATGGAGTGCCAGCTCATCCAATGGGACAGAGAGCCACACAAGAAGAGAATACACCAAAGGTTCAAAGAAGAACTGGAGCTAAGAAAACAACAGATTTACAGGAGACTAGATAAGATAGTGATAAGTAAGATAAATGCATTTGCATTATAATAATGGATTCATTAAAAAACTGGCAGATAGACAGCTCAGAGAGAATAATTTGATAAATATTATAGAAATATATGAAGATGATATTGACAGATTATCAACTTTTAGACATAAATGAGAGAAGTCCTATAGTCATGTTTTTCCTTTTTTTGGGGGGGTAATCTGCATCATAACTCAGTCCATGAAGCTCTGAGCACAGAGCAGCTCTGCTGATGTTCTGGATCTGAAATAAGAGTTCATGTTCACTGTGAGGCTCACTGTGTGAACACTGCCAAAGCAAAGTTTGAAACTTTACACAGCTGCATTTAAAACTTTTTGTCTTCTTTATCAGGTGTGTGGAAATTCAGCAAGTGTGGAATAGTAAAATGTTTAGGTTTGAGATTTTTCCACATTGATGTCCAAAGATATTTGGAAATCAATGTGGAAAAAAAAATACTTTACTTCCCTGGAGAAATATGTTTAAACTGATGGTTTTTGTCACAGCTGAATTAGATGTTAAAGATGAAGAAAACTTGCATTACATTTTCCCATCTGAAACTAATTGTAATAATAGCAATTTGTTATCTAAGGACTTCTTCTTAGTTAAGTTGAATTTTTGGTGAGTTGAACGTAATTTGATACCTCGTTATGGAGCAGATAAAGTAGCTAATAACTGAAGGCTGATACTGGCCACGGGATTAATTTTTCATGAGGTTTTCTTTTGCTGTGACTGTTTTCTGCTATTTGTCTGTGTTTGGCATAAATTGTTTTATTTTAAACATTGAGTGTAGATTTCAATTTACTATATGTCCAGTAAAATAGACGTAGTCAGTAATGACCTTATTTGGGCTGTGTTTTATGTTTTAGTGACTTTTCTTTCAGCTTTAACCAGTGGCCATGCAGTACTGCCTTCAAATGTTCAACTCAGCCCAAAACATACTGTGTGTTTGTTCAGCCTGAGCAGATCCTGATCTGAACAAAGCTTTCAAACAGCTAAAACTGGTTTGGATCCATGCAGCAGAGTTCAGAATGGATCAAGTTTATTTTCTATTAAAGCCAGGGTCCAGCTTCATGTTGGGGTAGAAATTTGAATCGTTCTGCAGTTTTCAGACTCTTACGAGCTTCCTGCTGGCGTTCTGTAACTCTTCTGGCTAAAGATGGAACAGAATGAGCTGAGACAGAGTGGATGAGGCCAGTTCCAACTCTCTACCCTCTCATGTGGTCAGCAGATGGGATCAGGGTGGGGTCAGGGTCAGGTTGTGGTCCAGTGGGATTTCCAGTGTGGGTCTGTGTCCAGTTGGTGGGTCAGAACTGGGTTAGGGTTGTAGCTGGGAAAACATTTGTGTTTGGGTCAGATAGAAAAAATGAATGGGGGCAGAATCAGAGTTCTGGTGTCAGTCCAGTGAAGTGGAGGGCTGAACAGACTCCAGTAAAAAGCAGGTTCTACAGTACAGAAGTAGCTGGAGATGAATGAGCCTGGTTCTTCTGCCTCTTGCTGCACATCTGGGTCTGGGCCAGCGTCTGGCTGCTGTGAAGCAGCAGCAGGCAGCTGTCAGCTAGGACCAGTGGAGCAGCTCCTCCGCTGCCTGGAACAGCTTGCTGTGGAAAGGGGGGTAAAGGTAACCTGTTTTTAACGGGACTGTTCAAAACCCTCAGATGGAGGCTTTCTTTGTCACAGGAGTGGTCAGGAGAGGAATAAGGACACATCTCTGCTTGGCAGCCTTCAGTCCTCCCTGCAGCTGATTTATGACCCTCGCTTTGGTTTTCAGGGCTCTGCTGTTCATCCCAAATGACAACACCAGTTTCCTTACCTGGGTGGTTGCCGTGGCACCCAACAAGATGGCCTTCGCCTGCTTGAAGGTGGCTCCAGGGAAGCTGGTGACCTGTAGGGAACTGAGAAGGGGGAAGTCTGGACAGTTGGAGTCTCCAGTAAAGATGTTTTCTGAAGCTCTCAGACTGCAGTCTTTTCTGTTCTTAACCTTCAAAACCTGTTTGAAGGGAGTCCCAACCTGGCTCAGAGGTGGAGACTAAAGATGGAGACCACACGTCTTTAAACCAGAAAACAACATTTATTCACTTAAACTAACTTTGTATATCAACTCATCAATCATGTTTGCAATGAACTGCATTGTATAAATGTAAGATTAAACTAAACAGAAATGAATAAATGAATACTATAGATCAACAGAAGTTAATCAGCAAAGCTGGAACAAACTCAGCAACTCAACACAGGGCAGAGAGGAAATGCTCAGAGCTTTTTCTACAGTAGCTTTCACACCAGGTGTCCACCATCTCCAATGACCAGCCACTCCCCAAATCCCCAACAACCAATCCAGAGCTCAGAGGCCATGAGGCCCCCACAGGGGAAAGGGAGCAGGTGTCTGATTAAAGGAAGTGAGGGGGGGGCTGCTGGTCAGGGACCTGGATCTGGTCAGGTCATCAAGAGGAGAAACAGCTGGCTTTGGAGTGAGATGTGGAGGAGAAGGAGGGAGGAGAAGGAGGGAGGGGGGGAGGTTCAGCAGGACACAGATCTTCCTCTCAGCTCTCATCCTCCTCTTCATAATACTGCCAGCTGCAGAGAGAAGCAGACAGAGAGCAGATAAAGGAGTAAACCATGCACACAACAAGCTGATATTCTGATTATCTGCTGGCTCTTTCTGCTGACTCTGCTGAAAAAGCCTGCTCT